TGAACTATGACTGAAAGAACACGATTCCAGATACAAGCAACTCATTACATCTATTAGATTTAATGCATTCTGCTAAGAGCCCTAAAAGAGAAAACCAGCCTGGACGATACTGACTGGTTGTACAGGATGAAACGAGCTTTGAAGTTTGATGGGGCAGAAGATGGCTCATGTAGACAGCTGGCTGCTCTTTTGGACAGCGTGTCAGTGTTGCTACAAAAGCCACTCTGCCGTATATGGATGATGCAGTCATCATTGTGGCAGGCTTGTCAGAATTAACTGGTGTGATGGAGACAAATACGATCGTAGCAGTCGGATGGAGAGTTTGCAACACATGCACCACCCTAACATTGAATATGTTCACCAAACTAGCAAGCTGGTGGTAGGTTAAAGACAGGAATGAATTGTGACATAAATTAAAAACACGATTTTGCTTCACTTAAGATGTCTTAGAGAGACCATGGATCAAACAGACAGGGTAATGACCTAAAACACTAATGTAACAGTTCCTGGCATAAATCTAAGCAGGAAGCTTTGTCACAGGAAAAAAAAAAAAAAAAACAGTTCTGCTTGACAGTATCAATTAAAAATATAGCCCCAAAGGGTTGCAAAATAAATAAAGGTCACACACACAAGTACAAAACTAAAATTAAATTAAAATTAAAACAAAAGAACTGAAAGATGAATGAAGTCAGCCTTTGCCAAAAGGGGTTTTACATTGCATCACCTGAGCTGCAGTTTTATTTGTGAGCCATTCAACCAAACTGACAGTCACAGTGGGAGAATAATGTATGATCATTAGCGAAGGCTTGGCAAATTATTTATGTAATGTAAACCATAATAATTTCATTTTACTTTTCTTCTAATGCTCCTATTAACAAGTAACTGGGAAACCAATAAATGTCACAAATGCTTTCACTTAATTAAAACAATAGGTATCATATTGCAAGGTAAGATGTCAGTCAAATCCCCGCTCTCGGCACATAGCAATTTACAGCTAAAGCATTATGTGAGAGGGTGACACAAATAATAGCTATTAAACTGTCAACTAGTGCAAGCTGGATCGCATTACGGAAATTAGCCCAAGACGCACTATTACAAACAAAGCCATCCTCTCTCTTTGCACAGACATTCATTAACTTGTGCATACATAGTGTATATAAACAATTCAACAGCAAAAGTCATGTTAAATTAATAAAATGGTGCTATGCTTTTACTTAAAATAAATTGTTGACACATTTGCCAAATTGTATAATATTACTCCACCCCCTTTAAAAAAGCCAACAAATCCTGACTACTATATTTTAAAATAGAGTGAAAGCGTAACAAAAACTGCACAAACTGCAGAACTTTCCTATTGACATTCATATGATATATGGCACATATTTTATTAAGACTAAAGAGCAAAAAGGGAGAAATAAACCACAATGCAAAAAATAAAACATAATTTAAAATGATCTGCATTTAAAAAGGAATGTACTGATGCCAACAGTCACAGCACACAGTCAACACTGACACCTGCTGGTTCAAAAAATATTTGATGAAACGTAGCTTGACTCAGTCCATAAATATTAAACATGCATTTATAATAAATGCTAATGTATTTAATACACTTTATCAAACACTTGTAATGTTTTATACCAGCTGTTATGAGAAAACTGTAATATAATACAATTGTGTCAAAGGTCAAGCTCAATCATCCAGGTACAAAATCCAATAATAGTCAATCAGTTCATCTGGACAGTTTCTTTTTTAATGTAAATATGTTTCACCCTCTATCCAGGGGACTTCAGTCTGAGGAGTGTCAAGTAAACCGTTTTCCCCACTAAGTAGTACACTCCTTTAGTGGACCAACCAGTTTGCTGGTGATAAGATGACTGATGAAGCCCTCCGGATAGAGGACAAAACCTCTTTCCACAAAAAAGAAATTGTCCAGATGACCTGATTTTGACCATTATTGGAATACAGTTGTATGTTTTGGATTACAAACTTGTGAATCAGTTATCGGCAGTTATTGTGGTGTAAATTCTGAATAGTGTACATGCACATCTGTGCTGAGTGGACTGGAGGACCCACAGTCAAAGTGGGAGATGCCACCAAGGGTGGTGGAAAATGGCAGGGCTAAGATACCGTGGGAATTCCAGATCCATACTGGCAATCAGGTGATGGCTAACAAGCCAGATAATGTGGCTGTCGATTCACTACAGAAGGCAGTCGTGATAGATATAGTAATCAGAAGCAACTGAAACAGCAGGAAGGAGCACGAGAAACTCAAAAAATTCCAAGGGCTGAACAAGGAAATAAAGAAGTTCAGGAGAGTCAAGCGTTCGTAGTCCAAGTGGTCACTGGAGCACTCAGTCCTGTGACCCCCAAACTGAAAGGGTGGCTCCAATAAATCCGAGAAACAACCTCATAGATCTATGTCTGGAAGAGTGTAATCCTAGGATCAGCTAAGATACTACACAAAATCCTCAAACTCTAAGGCCCCTGGTAGAGGACTGTAGTTTTCCCATCATGAGTGGAGTGTTTTTTTTACATAGTTAAGCAAAGAAACATCACTAAAGCAAAGAAATCTACTATGTTGTTCAAGTTATTTTTCTAAAATATGCGTAACCTCATGTGACTACAAGATGCAATGACACAAAAGCAAGTTTTCACAGAGAACCACATCAGATAGGACACATAAGCTGTACCACAGTACACATGCCGATATATCAATGAGTCATGTGGGCTCTACTTAGTCAGTTGTCAATGAGACATATCAAGCAAAACTTTTCTGTATGAAAGTAATTCTTCAAAGACTTACAAGCTCATTAAAATAACATACTTGCCTAAAGTTAAATGATAGTCTGAGGGAAAATTATTTCAAATGACAGTTTTCAAAACACTTATTGTTAATATTAAGTGTACATGGTAACTGTGAGGGCAGTACCTGCAGCCACACAGTAAACAAAGGTTGAGCTGGTTCCTGTGGAGATGCTGCTGGAGATGTCCTGCCACTCACTCAGTCCCAGCTGCATCAGACCAGGAGATCATTTTGGCTGGGCTCTACCATGCTGTATGTCAGCAGAGGGAGAAGTTGGGTTTTGTAATCTGATTTGTACATTTTTGTCCAGATAGGATTTGTTGTTGTAAATGTTTTTCTTTTTCTTCTTTCTTTAGGTTGCTGTTTTGCACTTCTTTGGTCAGATTGTTTTGTTGCTGACACCAGTTGTAGTTTAATCTATTTAATTTGCTTCCTGCCCTAGTGTGTCAGAATGGTGTGGTCATCCACTTTAAGTTCCCCGTTTGTTTAAATCAGGGGATCAGTTGGTGTTTTAGTTTTCTATATTAGTACCTTAGTTAAATTTTGTTCTGTTGACCTTTATTGGGCCCAGAACTGCAGTATTTTGAGATTTTGTAAATACATTTGAGCCTCGTTTTGGCCAGTCTCTTGTGTCTCTCTTACTGGTATGTGGACTCTAACTGTAACATTAATACAGTAAGGTACAATAGCTATCAAATAATCAAAACGGAGAGACAGTATTGGTACATTAGAGATCTGGAAATGCAGCTTTAGGTCAGTTTTCATTGTGTTTTGTTAAAAAAACAAAAACTGAGTTCATGACCAAGCGTCACATTGTGCAGAGAAACCATAGAGAGCAACATAGCTGCATCTAATCCAAAAAAGCATGTTATTGTTGCATGTTATGCAAGCATGTTATGTTATTGAGCATGCATCAGGATAGCTGCATCTAAATTTAAGGAGGAAGCTGCCCAGCTGCAGAGTGGAATGAATTGAGGAGGGTGGTGGTGAAAACACTTTCATCCATCCAGGACATTGGTCTTAGATGTTCTCTGACCAGAGGAGATAAAATCAAATGAGACACCTCACACCCACAATACGGATGGTTTACTCTGTTGACTTCTGGCAGAAGTTACCACAGCCTGAAGACCAGAACCAACAAGTTCTGCAACAGTTTCATCCCACATGCTATTAGACTGCTGAACTCGGGTCACTAATGAAGTGACCACAATAGCAAACACAGACATACCTAAACACCAAAGTCTATAAAATTAATGTAAATTATGAACTCCTACACTGCTGTGGAGAAATTAAACTAAATTTTGTTCAATAATGCACCGAACACTTTTGATTACAATCAAGTTATTATTAAATATTATATTATTATTAAGCATCAGCATGTGTCAAAAGGACTTTAGCTTCTTGACTAATAAAATAAAATATATTTTTTTTCCCTTTACTTCTGAGCTAAACAAACAAGTGCCTTTTTATATTTATTATCTCAGTTGTTAAATATAACCAGACATGACAATTTCATCCAAGACTCGTGGGTGTGCAACATACTTTATTTGTAAACAATAAAGGCTTTAAACACTTAAACAAGAAGAAGAAGAAAAAAAACATATTTGCACATAAATTATGTACTGTACACAATTTCTGTTAGCTTTTTGACCACTAGAGGGCAGTGTTGAGTTGATCATGACTGCAGCAAAACTTAAAAAGTAAGGACTGATGTTGGTGTTGGTGAACAGTGAAAACATGGAAGGAAATAACATTTAGGTGAAAACAAAATAATTAATTTACAAAGAAGTTTTATTTAAAAGTGAAAAAAAAAATAAGTGCACTGCCAAGAATCCAAATGCAGACTGTAAAAGACAAACATAGTTAATCAATGTCAATGATTGCACTGTACACAAAAGTTCTAATATACAAGGAAAATCAGCAGACTATTACATATAAAATATTCAATAAAATGCATAGTTTTAAAGCTAAAGGGTAGGCTTTGGAAATATACTTTACAAGGAATGCAGCCTTCATACACAACTCACCCAAAATTACCAATTGTTTCATCTTTGAGATGAAACTGTTTCAGCAACATCTGATTGACACATGAACATATGAAATATAATATGTGAAAACAGCATTATTCTAATCCTTCCAGAAAATTTCTACATAAATGCATTCAAGTAAATATCCAAACTAATCAGATTTTTGATGGTGTTGTTTTTAAGTCACGTACTGAGTGGCAGAGTGAGTAGAGGTTTTTATTTAAACATTCTTTGGACCATAATTTGAGACTTTTAAAGCCATTAGTTCTCACTTCTCAACTAGTCTCTCCACAGTAGGACTAAGGCTTCTATGTGTTGGAGAGAGCAAACGAGAAAGTCCATTCCCTGTTAGGGCTCCACTGTCCACTGGGCAGATGTAGTCTGCAGCTTCATCAGGCTTCCTCTTCCTCAGGTGACTGAACTGAGTGAATCCCAACTTCTTTGGCTGAAAACAACAAAATAAATGTACAATGATGTACATGTTTTTTTATTTTGCATTTCTGCAACAATGACAAAATGTAATCAAAACTGTGCTCTTACTTTAACTTTAGCTGTGGTAGTGAGGGGCACATGGCCTGTGGCGTTGCCATACTCTCGTTTCTCCTGCATGGCTTGAGGTCCAACCAGAGCAGCAAAGGCAGTGGCGAGATGACGACGGAGTAAAGTCTTCTGTGGAGGGATATTCAAGAGCAGGGCCAAAGTCTCTGAACTAAAACGAGGCTCCAGGATCTGTGAAAGAACACAGTGACAGAGAACACAGTTCAGATACTACAGTTAAAACAGCCAGTGGGAAGTTGGCAGTGACACGGAGAATAACACACAGTGTGTAGACTGGAATCAAACAAAACTACCGTGTCCCCAAGAAAAGAAACCCAAAAAAAAAAAGATAATGTCACTTCTGGGCTGTTGTAGCATGAAAACACAGCATGGGAAAGAAAGATCATGCTGTAATCTGAGAACATGTTCAGTTCAAAATTATTGAGTAAAACAAAACATACCCCCCCCAAAAAAAAAAGATAACTTTTGCATTTTTTTTTCTTAAACTTGTCCTATTAAACGCTATTCTGAAGTTATAACAGCTATAGATGACAGTGTGGTCAGTCTCATTTATGATACTTACAACCAGGCCACCATGTACACCACTTCCTCTTAGATTAGGAGCAAACTCTGCAAGATCCACTGCTCTCAGCCACTCCATGACACGATGGTTCGACCACTGAACTACCTCAGAAGGAGAGGGCTGTTTCTGGAAACAAATACAAATAAACATTATCATCACTTAATCAATTTTTTTTTCTTAGACTCAAAATGGATAAAAGCTTAAGTACCATTAAATAATACATCCAGCAATGTAGAAAACAAAGGTCTAATAATTTAAATACAATGCATTTATCTTTTTGCTGCCATCTTGAGGGAACCTTACACCACTACATCTATTTAACATCAGGCAGCTCCTTGTGAAAATGACGCCCAGGTCCCACGCTGGCTTACCTCGTCGCCCGGCCTACGTCGAAGACAGTTTGGGGTGAACTTGTTGGCATGAAGGACATGAATAGCACATTTAATACTGAGGTGGTGAAGCTGGCTGGTGACCTTTAGAGTCAACAGATCATTCTGAGCAGACACAAAACGAGAGTATTAGTCAAGGTCTAGAAAAATCTGCTTTCATGCAAATTTGAAGCTTTATATGTACCAGAAATGAGTAATAGGCTACACTTAATTTACCACAGTCAGATATTGGATCATTCGACCGTCGACACGAGCTTCGTGGAATTGGTCTTTATACTGTGGCAATCCAATATCATCCAACCAACCTGCATGAGACAAAAAAACAAAAAAACACTAAATTAAGCTTCAAAATATGCTTCATATAACAATACTTTCAAATTGAATTAGCAGTTTTTCAAATGAGGTTATTTTTGCATTTAATTTTGAAGTCTATTTACATATAACACACTGTGGTTCGTCGTTTGATTTATTGTGCGAGACACTCTGCATTTGTAGATCGCATTGAAATGAGTATGTAGAGCCTGAGAAATATGCAGCACAGATTCTTACGTGTGACCCAGATGTGGTCCAGCTCTGAAGACTTTTCTGTAACTTTGGTGGTGAATGCCCTCAAAGCGAATTGCAGCTTCTTCCTGTGAAGTGGATGCTTCATGCCCATCTCCTGAAGAAACAAATCAGAATAAAGAAATGCTTTTACCCAGACACTTCACAATGTTCTTAAAAAGATTTATGTGAATTGTTTGATTAATAACCTTCTCAAAATCCTGTGGTGTGGCAGACAGAAACGTTTGCCCATTTTCAACCCACTGTCTGGCAAGGTTGATGTATTGGCCAAGTCCATAGTCCTCCAGCCAGCCACACACCTGCTCTTTGGTCCACTGGCTGAATGGGATATTCATATCACTATAAGAAACAAAAGCAAAGGATGTAAAATGGTTACCATCTTATTGATAATTGGTAAATTAAACAACATTTAAAAAAAATTGAACTAAAGTTACCGTGTAGAGTTGGCCTCAGGGGTTCGGGTAAGTCTAGGTCCTGCTGTCGCACGCAAGCCCCCTCGTCTAAACTGTCCAACATCTGGATCTGCAGCCTGGAAACCTCCAGACTGAGTTCTTCGAAGCCTGTGTGAATAAGAATTAAAACAAAAACAAAAAAAGAGCTAAAAAAAAATGCTACGTGAAACTTTCTTTTTCATAGTAAAGTAAACCTTAGAGAAATATTTGCTTTATGGACTCGTGTATATATATTTAACATTTTTCCACACAATTGATGAAAACCAAGGCCAAATGTGTCTGATCTTTGCTTTGCTTTATTTATTTCCCATTTTTTGGACATACGACATTGTAAAACTGCTTTCTTACTTAAGACAGCTTTATTTTTAAGACAGGCATTTCCACTTGTCCATTTTCATTTCACTGGCACCCATCCCATAGTGTGCTGTCATTATCAGGGAGACAGAACAGAGTGAAAAAGCTGCCCAAGACCAAATAAAAACCTTTAGAAAACATTCAGAAGGCCTGAATAAATATAGATAATTTTTATACGTTTCAAAAAGATGTCATTTGGAAAATAAAAAAACATTTAAAAAAAAATTTCAAAAGAAATTTAAGGTGTAGACAAGTTAACATGTCATATTTAAAATAAATGTTCACTACAGCATTCAAATATATTAAAAGTGCACTGATGGAACCATTCTTTAACTTTCTTTTTGATCATCTGTGCTGATGATGTCCTGTGTTGTTAATGTGCTCGTTGAAGCACTTACTTTCCCCAGAGTCTTTTGAAGCTCCTGTTATTCTTCATGTATTCTGGAGAACCCACTGCTCGCTGGCCCGGCTGCGGAAGCGCCTCACCATGAACAGGGGAATTATCAAGGGATGTTCTGTCATCAACTTTCTCCAACTTTCCTTCAAGAAGTTGCAAAAACCACAGGATAATAATGACTGTGCTTGTTTGACTGTACTCTGCAAGTCATGCAGTATTTCACTGATGTGTTTGTGTAGCACAAAGGCCCTTTACTCTATAAGGCATGCTTCATTGTACTATAATCTTGCCAAATAGCACTGTTTTGACAGGTGATATTAATGAAAATGACTGTTTCCTTCAGCTTAAAGCAAAATTAGAGACAAAAAAATTCTGATTTCCGTTTTTCCCCTTCTGCAGGACGTAAAAGGTGAAGCAGACCTCATGGTAGACTGGTATTTCCCAATGTACTACAAAGGGATACGTGTTACAGACCACTGAGTATAGCTAATAATTAATCAGTTTATGCCCCATAAAGAAGCAATGTTTTAATGTTATGATTTTTATGATAAAGTATGTGTGAGCAAATGTGCGATGGTAAAATCAGGGTGTGGCTGGCGTTCAAGTTGGTCAGTCAGGCTGAGGAAGGGTGGAGCTGGGATGAATGTGGTCAGTCCATGCACAAGGGAGTGTGCATCGGGTAAGAAAGCCTATCCCAGGAGCCATCTGCTCTGTCAGGAGACTCTACAATTACCTATGATCAAACACGCAGTGGTAGTCTGGTCAGAAGAAAGTGGTTGTAACTCCAAAAATGAATCTTGCCTGCACGCATGGGAAAGACTACATGTAGGCTATGAACTGATCCTGCAGCATGCCAAGGCTCACTGAAGCTCACTACCCATGATATCATAAATTATACTCTGTAAAGCCTTCTGCATGGATTTACTTTGGATGCAGTCTCCATCTTCACTCCCATCTGGAGATTTTTGACTCTGGGTGTCAGCACTACTGTCTCCTGTCTCATGTTGTTCCAATAAAGAGGAGTTTACGGGCAGAGTTTGACTCCTGCTGTCATCTAGGTCATTCTGGGGGGAAAAAAAAAGAGTCACGAAAAGAGTGACTTTATTTAATTCAAAAAGGTCAAATATTTTCTTTCTTTTTCTATGAAATATACAAAATATGTAAAAAAAAAAATACCTTTGGTAAATGTCCATTTGTCATGTCATTCATGCTACTTGATAAAGTATGAGGCTCTGATCTGTGAAAGTAAAAGAATACACTCATACAAACTGTAATATCCAACTAAGAGTAATCAAATCCAAACAAAAAGCTGTTACGACCTGGAATCGCTTTGTTTTTGGGTTGACAGAAGAGATATTTGTTGGGAGGAAGAACTATTTGTTGAAACCTGTGATGGATGAATGCAATGCATGGATAAGTTTGTTTGAAGACACCGAAAAGTCGATCCTAACCACTTTCGTGCACCCACTTCAGACTTCACATCATCAGATTTTGCACTGGAAGAGTCAGCATTCTTCAGCAACCCTTGCTCTTCTTCTTCACTACTGCTTGACGGAGTCCAGCCATTCGACAAGGAACGAACAGATGAAGCTACAAAAACAAAAAATAGGGAACATTGTTTCATTATCACAGGAAGAAGGGTGTGTGTTGGTTTGCATTTTGCTTCCAATTTGCCATTGCCAAGATAACATAAATTCAGTTTTGTATGTGTTAGAGTAAAAAAAAAAAGAAAAAGAAAAAGTGATTACCTTGCCTTGATGTATGAGGAACCTCTCTGAACTGCCTGCACTGATTCAGGAGCAGAGTCAGCTCCTCAATGCGACGGTCCTAAAATTAAAATTAAAATAATAAAAAAGCAGGAAGGGCTTTAAAGTATTAAAAAAAACTCAATCAAGATATTTATCAAAGGTTAAGAAACGCACACGACTTCACTCAGCTTCTAACTGATACGCAGCTCAAACACTCCCCTTCCACCATATGGCCTTTACATCAAAGTATTAAACAGGGAGGGGATTGACACAGGCCTGGCTACAAGTCTTAGTTGTGGTAACCAGTTGCACAGATTGTGTATGTTTTGAAGTGGTGCCCATGCCTGGTTTTGCAATGGTTTTCCTAATGTTGCTCGCTCCAAAATTAAGCTTGGCAGAGCAGAGCATGCCTAATTGTGGCTTTGCCTGAAATGGTTCGTCTTAGGGTGTGTGTTTGTGTGTGTTCTCTCTAATGTACCATATGTAGGCCTGTTTCTGCACGTCCTTAAAGTCCAAAATAAAGAGGGAGGGTAAAACAAAGAGCCTCTGTTCTAAAAAAGGGTTGCATGAAATACAAAAACACAGCTACGTTTTTATTGTTTTAAATAGCACAAATGATGTTATGTCATTATTCAGGGCACTTATGCTGTGTTAAAGTAATGACAGCACCCGAGTTGATGCGTATTTCATAGTTTCCCACAGCTCTTTTAAACAAAAAGTTAATGAATGTTTTCAAATCACTTCTAGTTTACCTTTTCTTCATTGGCAACTACCAGGGACTTCATTCCACTACGAAGTATCTGCAGTTCATGATCTAGGAGAAGAAACCAACTAATTATTAATCTACTTGCAGCTGCTCGTGTTGCTTCAAATTTGCATTTAGAATAGTCGCATAAAGTGAAACAAGGAAGTGCTTTGTTAACAGGTTAAAAAAACTGATTATTTATCTTAAAAAGTGTATTTAAACTACACATTTGTCACATTTGGGCCCAAACACCATGCTGTGCACATTTCCTTTTAACAACGTGGGACATACGAGTTATGATATGAACAGAGTGCAAGTCCTTTTGATGTTATGTCAAACAATAGATTATCTTATGAGTTATACGTTTTCATTTGTACTCATCTGCTCACACACACTCATGTTCGTGCTGCTGTTGTTTGGCGTGTTGTTTTTGTACTATGAGAGCTTAGTGTATTCTTAGTTTAGCATATTTCTTAGTTCATATCTTTGATCTACTGTTTTTCTTTACAGTTTATACTTTTGTTGGATGTAACTGGGACCCTGTGTACACAATTCCATTCCACCACATGCACCATGGTGCAAATGACAATAAAGAAACCTTGATCTTCACCTCACTTTTCTGGTAAATGGCAATGCAGAGGAAGAGAATAATGCAGACATAAAATAGAATAGTGTGTTTCTCTTTAAAAAAATATATATCATAAAGACACTGAAACTAGCTGATTTTTAGAAACTATTTAATATTTGTCAAAGCTGCTGTTTAAAGCAAACAAGTATACAAGATAAAGGACAGTGTTATTTGGGGGAAAATTTGAATGAAAGATTAAAAGTAGACAGTTTGATGGAGTTTTCATTTGGCTCATTGTGGTCTTTAGTGTTTAGCTTTTTCCTACATCTCCTCTGAGAGAAACAGACAAAAACTTTGAATAAGGAATATCTTTTTTTAAAGACCAATGAACACTTTTCCACAGCTGCTAATCAATACAAAACCTATGAAGGTGGTTAACAGTTTGAAATGCTTTAACAAGGTTAAGTCAGGTCATCTGGATGGATTCTTCTTTGTTTTCAACAAAAAAAGACTACCAGGATTATTGAGCATGCATCAGGACTGTTTGGAAAGCTGTTTAAGGGTTTTTGAGGGTTTAAAGGCACACGGGTGCTTCACTTACCTCTCGTTATGTTTTCTGAGGTCAGAGATGGTTTGGACAGTAACTGAGTTTGTAAGTTTTCAATCTCCGCATTTTTACTGAGCAGAAGTTGCTGAAGACTACTCATCTCTGTCTGTGGGCAAGACAATAAGAATTCTTACCATAAATAACACACAAGTCTGCTTTTCACCCAAGATGCACTGAATCACACATGCATTATGAAATAAGAAATGATTGCATTTAAAGTTTTTATACTACCACTTTCTACATGTAGATCAACCACAGCTAAGAATGGAAAGTTTTCTTCTCTAAATTTTTGAGCACCAACCTTTAGGTCACTGCTCCGTAGAGTTTGTGGTTTGTTTTGACGAGGTTACTGGAGGACATTGTTGGTAATAAAACTATGCTGACTGATTTAGTTTTTTTTTTTTTTTTTTTTCAGAGCTGGAATATAACTTTAAACAATAAACATGTTCCAGTACAGCATATTGTATTGCATAGTATTTTACTTTAAATGATACTCAGTGAAGATTAGGACCTCGTGGAGCTCATTGTTTTACAATGTTATGATTACATGTCTTGTATTTTCATCTATTTAAAAAAAAAAAAATGTCCTTTGTCGTATTTATTTAAAGTGCCAATATTTAGTGGGTTCATGTTTGGCTGTAAGCTGACACATGTATCACTTGGGCACACGATTTTAGATCTATGCTGATTTTTGGGTATTATGAATAGAATGGGTATTAGGTCTGGACATTGCCTGCAGATAAATGTAGGACTTTGTGTCATAAAGACATTATCAGCGTTGCCTTAAAATCTGCATGTCAAGGTTAAAGAGATAATTCAGAACATTTGAACTGATTAGTGAAACAACCATGGTCATGATATCTTATCAGTTGTAGAAGCTCATTGTGGCGACCTTAAGCTTAACTTTGACTGGGATAACAAGCTAGTTTGAGCTTGAGCTTTTCTTTGTATTATTAATTGTAAGCACTACATGTTCTGCAATTATGTTGGTCTATTCAGAGGGTTTAATAAAATGGCTACTAATGTATCTGCTACTTTCATACTATAAATATAAATTAACTACAACTTTGCTTGGAAAATACCAGAGTATGAGTATTACAAAACTGAATGGCTCCTTTAACTGGGTGGGAGATCAGATTGGACAAGAATTAGGAGAGTTGACAATTACTGGTGCATTGTGGGCACTGGTGAGTGATAAAGTCTACGCAGCATGAACAAGATATTTTACCTTGGTTGCTTTGAGCTTCTTTTCATACTGTTGCTTTTGATCCTCCAGATGCTGCACTTTGTCCTTAAGAATCCGGAGTTCTTTAAGTAAGACCTAAAACAGAAAGTGTTGGATGTTTTGTTAGTTTTAGTTTTAAATGGAGTCACAAATGTTCTTTCACACAACGCACAACATCAGCTCTCATGTTAAATGTTGTTGAGTTTTTTTGTATCACTCAGGGATTCATGTCACATGAATAAATGCAGTGCTTATTCATGTATGGACAGTGATAGAAAGCACTGTTTAGAGTACCAAATGAGTGATTGATTTCCATGTGAAGCTAAGACACAACCCATGCTGTGCACAATATTAGAAGCCATGCAGGCAAACTATTCCTACACTTTCTCCTTGGCAGTGGCACCGGTGCTCTGAGCTACCCTCAGTCAGGTTGCGAGTGTCCGCAACAGGTCTGTCGTCCTCCTCTAGTTTGTGCGTCCCCTCTGAGAGTCCTTCCCAGGACAACCCAAGGCGATTGTCCTGTCCCTCATTGGGTTTGGAGGGGAACGTCATTGGAAACCTGCTGTCAGTTGGGAACTCCAAGGCCTTTTTCTCCTGGATCTTGCTATTGATCTCCTTCTGAAACTGACACATCTGTTCCTGCAGCTCACTAATGAAATTCACAACGGTCTGGCAGATAGAGGGGGGGACAAAAAAAAAAAAAAAAATTAAAAATTAAAAATAAGAAATAATGTGTGCAGAACTTGTCAATATGTGTGTATGTGTGTGTGGGGGGGGAGGGGGGGGGCTGCAGGTGAATAGAACATTTAAATATATATTTTTTAATCACATAGTTTGGCATTTTAAATCAATGCAAAACTACTGTATGTGTATATATTTTAAGGCAAGTATTCTAATAAACATTAACATTAAATGGGTGACCCCCGCAACTCGAAAAGGAAGCAACGAATGAAGATAATGGATGGATGGAAGGATGGATGAAACAATTAAGAATGTGTGGTTTCAACTAAATGATGCACATATAAAACTGCTCGCTTTGTTTTAATTAAATTAAAATAATGTTTCGTTCATGGCATATTGTTCAGAGGCTTTCTGTTATACTCATCTATTTTATTAGGCCTTTAAAAGACAGACACAGTTTGCCGGTAACCATCAGTCTTTTCCAAAGTGTGTACCGCAGCAGCTGGGTTATGCTTGGACTGTGGATGGAGAAAGTTATACTCCAGGGTCTAGTACAGCGGATATGGCAGATGATACGAGGGCCCCCATGGCTAATTTTAAACATAAGCTTACTGACTCCTAAGCCCACTGTGTTATGGGTGTGCGCATGTGTGTGTGTGTGCATATGCAAGGACATGCTTGTGCAGTAGATGCAACAAGTGGGGGACCAGTATAGTGATGAAAACAGAATATTTTACTTGGTCTCCTCAAGTCAAAACTATTTTTAGAAACTAAGTTTATAAAATGAAAATAAAGGAAAAATGGAAAAACTCACAAAATGCATAGTTTTTTATTTGATTTTTTGTAGAACTACACACTTTGATGAAATCCAACTACATTTAAAGCAATTTGAATATTTATTTTAATACGTTAACTTTAAAAGGAAGTGTAAGTGGTTATTTCTTTTTAAGAAAGACCCACTCATTCATTACCATTCCACCAATAACAAAATTATCAGGACTGAAGCCTACACACACACACACACACACACACACTCATATTTGGCTTGTCATCCATCACACCAGCTCCAGTATGCCTGAACTGTTTTCAACTGAGGACAAAAAGACCCTTTGAGCAGTAATGTTTTGACAGTAACTATTAGAGTATCCTGTCTGGTAAAATTTCAGCTTTCCCATTTCAAGAACTCACATGGTCACCAAATGGGCAGGAAGTCTGCTGGTAACCAAACCGTTAGTCTTAAACAAATACATGAGCCAGTTAACGTGACAAAGACATTTAAATCGCTTGGACTTTTTAACAGTAAGCTTCCAGTTACAGCAAAACTGGGTTAAAGAGGAATGTTTCCTTCCATTAATCCCACTAGTGTTAATGGTCTTGCATAAAATCAGCAGCTGACCGCACAATTAGAACACAGAGCAGATTATTGTGTGCACCTTAGCAGTTACAACTTAAAGTTGCCAGGAAGTAGGTCACAACTGATGCTCTTTAGAATAATTGATCCTCAGTGAAACAATTTGCAACACAATAATGATGTCACTGTAAACGTAGTCAAACTGAAAACAACGATTTGCTCAAACTGGGTTTTGTGCCAACAATCAAAGAAAGATAAGTTATCTTTATATTCCCACATAGGCAGTTGATTGAAACATATTCAATATGAAGAAGCAATTTAAAGAATTAGTCACAGATGACTCATTGAGGAGGTCCTACCTCTGCTTTGTGCTGCCTCTCCACTCCATGGCCCTGCTTCACCTCCATGTCTGTCAGCTTCAGTTTCAAGTAAGAAACCTCCCCCAGAAGACTCAGCTTCTGTTTCTCCAGTGTTGTTCGATGCAGGAGCTCCTGTTATCACAAACAGTGAAGCAACCCAATCAGATACACCGTTATACATTATTCCTCCAATTACATGCAGTACTTACATAAAGTGTGAGACAGAGCAAGCTACCAACTCTGTAATGACAGTCCTCTAAAAACAAACCACACTGGTTTCAGAAGCTGTTTGAGTGGCTAAATATACACAACCCATGACCACTATTTATAATGTCTATTTCACAGCTCCCTCAAAGTACATAGCAAAGCAGGAGGGAGGGGGTGAGACAGAGAAAAAAGCATGCAGAACATTCATTGAGAGAACGTCAAAACAACTTTGACAGGTGCATTTTCTCATCTTGTGAACGTGAATGACAACCAGTCAAACTGTTGTTGAGGGTGTTTGTGGCTAAATGGCTTTGTGAAATCTTTCCTGAAAGGTTGTCAAACCTCAACATTAAATCTGACCAGCAGGCAGATGTGTTTCTAATTCTGTTGATGTCAAAAACAGGCATTCGATCCTGAAACGTCCAGAAATGGGGATCAAGCTTCATATGCAGATACATACAATTGCAACTGTTGCTTTTCGTAACAATTGTTGGCTTCTTCTAGAGTGCACTTGGAAAATGTAAGACTTTTGTCACCAGAAAGTGATTTACTGCTCAGACAAAACCTTAAAATGACCATCTTTCAAATAAACTGTCCCTTACTACTGTACAGTAAGTGGAATGAATAAAGAGATTGTTTTTGAACAGTTAAAGTAGTCAAAGAAGCGTTTAAAAGAGTTGCAGCAGAAAAAATAAAATTAATACCTCGTTCTTCCAGAATTTGTCCACAGCAATTGCATTGTCCTCAAAGATACTGTGGTTTTCAAGTTTTCATATGTCCATATCATCTAGAGTCTTTTAACAAGGTTCCTCTGGTAGATGTCAAACCTAAAGCAAACTAAATGCAGACATGCACGTCTAAACTCCTACAGGAGCACCACTCCACTTCTCTGTGCTTCCTCCCTCCCTTCTCTCCACCTTCCACAGCTGTTCCTCCCCTCTTCGTTTGTTCCTCTCCTCCCTCCCTCTGTTGTCCTTTCCTGTCTCTCTCTCTTTTTCTCTGGAAATCTACAATCACAGCGGCTGCAGGTCGGAGGCGTGGAGAACTGTGCAGTAAATCTCCTGCCCAGACAGACGAGTTTGTCCCTGCGTAAACCAGACACTCTGAGTGAGAAACTGTCCTGGAATGAGTCTGAGCTTCCTAAATATTTTTTGTTGTCAAGGTAATCCTCAACCTAATTCTCTGGAATCTTAGGATGGAAATTCTTTCAGTCATTCTAGGGCACTTTCTGCAACTTAGGAGAAAAACATGACGCTGCAGAAAAAGTAATCTCTAAAAGTCAGAGCGTGTTTTCCTAAAGGGGATTCATTTATTCATGCTTGAATGTCAAGACTTCCTAACTTTGGTCCAGTTTCACCACCAAGGTTTGAATGTGGAAATATTTAGTTCTTTTTTCAAAGTTCGGCATCATTTGAAGTCACCTGTTGCAGCATCTCCTCTGTGCAGTTGAGTTTGTGCTGATGTTCGACCAAAGAACTCTCTAGATCGTGGATCTTCACCCCTTGAGCCTCCACCTGGTCTGTCAGCACACCTACCTAAGTACACGTGAACAGAAAAACAAGATGAGTTTGTTATTTTTTTCCAAAAATGAAAAATAACCTACATTTATTCCTGAATTGTATTCTGTAGTTCAGCCCTTTTCAGTTGTTTGAGAAAATCAGAGTTTAATTTTCAAATAAAGATTAGGCAACTCAACACACTAACATCAACTATTTTTATCTTGAGAGCCAAATTTTCATAGTACAGTAGTCCCTTGCTATTTCACGGTTCGAATTTCGTGGGCTGGCTCTATCACGGTTTGTGGATGTACGGTCCATAATGTACAAAAAAAATACAAAACCTTACAGTATTATTACTGTACTCACGTGGTTGGGAAAAAGTTAATGACAAAAGAATAATAATTCAGACAGGTACCACCATTTGGTAGTTTTCTTTCAACAAGCCTACACTGTATCGCCAGTCCAAAACAACTACATTACCCACAAGGCAACAGTGCACTTCCCATAATTCAACACTGCTTCCAGCCTGCTGCTTTCTGTCAAAATAGAAGGAAAGTTTTGATCCAATCTGAACCGGACTAAAAAGTTTAGTCCTTATTCATAGTGACTTTGGTGCTCAGTAACTGCAGAGAGCTGACCAGAACCGGACCAGGACTACTTCCAGCCTCATTGGTCAATCTGAGTGCTGCTTGCCCACCCAGGGAGCCTCATGAGCGGGGAAGCACTACTTGGAGGTCCAGTGTCTTCTCTGGAGCTCAGCTGGACATTTTTCATCTGGCTCTGGATTATTTGGACTCGATCGGGACCATTGTGTGGTTTTGTGCTGGCTCTCCGAATGTCCGGCTCTCTCCAAATGCGTCTTTGTGCTCAACGGCTGCAGAGAGCCGATTAGAACCGGACCAGAACCAAACCAAGGCTGGTAGCTACTGTGCAGTACATATATGTATGTTGTTAAAATGACGTAGGTTTAAAAGTTTAGATCATTGCAAGAGTGTATGAAGGGTTTCTAAAGCCTTATAATATATACAAATACTAAACTAAATATAAAGTTGTTACGTCGCACAATTTCACTTACTGCAGGGTTTTTTGGAATCAAACATCTGCAATAAACGAGGGACTACTGTATTTCTATATGTGTGCCAGACCATGCAGATTATATATTTGAAAGGAAACAAAGAATGATCCTTTGTGCTTCAGTTGGCACTTGCAACACTTCAGTAATTCCAGCGATGTCAGCGCAGTGCAAGCAGTTTATTTTAAATCTGCAGCAAATCTTTAAAAGCTGCATATTAGCTAATCACAAGGTTGGGTCGACATGCCAACTGGAATAAATTTCCAGAGGAACCCTTTGTTTAAAACCTGAAAAAAAAAAAAGGGCAGGTCACCTGCTCGCTCACACACCTACATTGAGTACTGTAGATAAAGGCAGCGAGCCTCAACTTGTCTATGAAGCACTTGTTCAGCAGCCCTGAGTGCTACACACACCTACTGATACAAGACAAACACATCAGTCAAAATAAAACCGTCTTATGTTGTAATAGAACCAAACCCTGTTTGTGACTGTTGCTTTACCTGAGCAGTGCAACAAAAAACACACACTTGTGCAACCTTTACAACACAATACTGTGAAACACATTCGTCATTTTGGGTTCCGCTTCTGTAAACCCAGTTGTTTAACAGCAACCCACCTGCAGAATCAGTGACTCTTTGTCTCCCTCCAGACGCGATAACCGTTCCTGGTAGGAGTCACTGTTACTGTTAGAGCTGAGATTGTCCTGCAGAAAAAGGTCAAATTTAAGATTGTATTCAAATGAAATAGCACAGTTATCTTTTTTTTTTTTTTTTTTTTTTTACACAAGCACAATAATCTTTCCATAACGTCTGTGTGTGGAATTTTTGTGAGAGGTTTACAGACTCTAATCCAGATTTCAATGTTGTGTTCTACTTTGCACGTCAGCTGATTTGTTAGAGGAAACAAATGCAAGATAAGTTTAGTGCTGCATTTTTACTCAGGCATACCACAGTGCCACCAAAGTAGTGAACGGCAACCAAGTGAGCTATAATTTCTTATAGAAACATATTCTGACAGATAGTGAAAATCTGTGTAGCTCAGCTTGTATCTTTTTTAATTGAATACCCATTCATCCATATCTTTATCTGATCCTTCCTTTCTGGGCCACGGGGTCACTGGTGCCTAAATCATTGTGTGAGAGGTGGGGGACACCCAGGACAGGTTTCCAGTCCTTCACAGGGACACATAAGACAAACAACCATTCACTCTCTCACTCTCACCTAGGGACAATTTAGAGTTACCAATCAGCCTAACATGCATGTTTTTGGTCTGTGGGAGGAAACTGGAGTACCTGGAGAAAACGCACGCATGCACAGAGATAACATACAAACTCCATCTTGAAATGTCCTTGGCTGGGTTTTGATCTAGTGACCTATTCACTGAGAGGCAGCAGCTCTACCAACTTCACCACCATGCCACTCTGAATAATTGAAGCATTTAACTTTTTATGTCATCAATATTTGCCTCAGTATTTTGTATTTATACATAGAAAACACTAAATTTATATATTAATACACTGTATTTTTCGGACTATAAGACACACTTAAAATCCTTTAATTTTCTCAAAAATCGACAGTGATCCTTATGTACTAATTCTGGTTGTGCTTACTGACCTCAAACCAATTTTATGGGGTACAACTGAACAATGTTGAGAGTTATTGTGAATGAGTGGAATAAAGTTTGACTTATCTGACTGTTTTGTTTCACTTAATGCGCCTTATAACCCGGTGCGACTTATAGTCCTAAAAATAATACTTGACCAGAATATAACGTCTTAATAAGAATGTAGTTTGCATTCAGATTTTTAATTTCAGAATTAACAGCTCAATGATGTCCATTCAAACACAGTTCCATTTTATGTGTGCAAATCAGATGAACATGTCCCTGAAGTTTATGGAATAAAAGTGAAGTTTGTTACATCATCATTCATTGATTTACTTATAGTAGAAATATTTAGTACATTTGTGCTTATTGTGTTCAGTAGTGTGTGGTCACTGTTGGTAACTGCCATTGTTCTGTTTATCTTAGATATAAAATGGCAATAATCTTGATCCAGGCTATTGATTATTGGAATTATTGTGTACTGTGTAATAATATTGTGTATTTTCAAAACAAATCTATATCTTCCAAATAATTGCATGCTTGTTTTGAAATGTGACTTTTTTTTATTATTTAAACAAGTAAATGTGCCTATGCTGTTTTTGAAGCAATGTTTGATTTTACAGATTCAACTTTGTCAAACAACGATTTACTTTGACCAAATTATTGTTTTAACACAATCCATTCAACTACACGGGATATGTTTTAAAGACCAATTCATCAAGTTTGATCGAGAAATTCTCTTGTTTTTGTTCATTTAGAATAAAACAACAAAGTAATGAAGACAAACAGGGTAAGATATCTGAAATTTAAAAAAAAGTAAAAATAGATTTTGTAAGAATAGAATTTTGTTTTCACATATCTCACTCCAAAAACAATCCTGTGTACAAGACTTCATGTGTTTCTAACTTATTCTGCAGCTTCTCTTCATATGAAAAACAAAGCATCTCTTCTTCTAAATTGCCAATTGTGGCAACTGTAATTGTACCATAAAAGAAACAAATTGCACACACAGTTCTGTGCAACCTCTGGGAAAGTGTGAACGAGTACACATGCAAGCGGGGTTTGTCTTACCTTCCTGAGCCAGGCAAAATGTTTGTAGACATCAATATGATACTCCATTCTGCAGGCCCATTGTCGTCAAGCTCTGGCTTGATTGTCAAACAAAATTTAGCGTGCACTTTAAAGCACAAATCAAAACAATGGCTTTTAGCTGTTTGTCCTCCTTTTTACAAGCTCACCATGCTGCAGATGTAGAGCGTGCAGAGAGAATCTAGAAGGTCTGTGCGGTTTGGAGCTGAGGCTGCCTCAGACTTTTAGAGCGCCACTGAATAAGTCAAACTCTGCCAGTTGGCTGTACTCCCCCAACCCCCCCAGCTCCCACCCCCTTTCTTCTTTTTCTTTTCTTCTAACTACTCTCTACCCATTTCTCATATATGCTCACTGTGCTTCATTCTTTTGCAGCACGTCTGTCTTATATTTCTGCACATCTTGCTAAGTATATGTTTTTTTTTTTTTCTTATCCCATTCCTTCCTTTCTCCTGTCCTTCCGTTCTCTCAGGGCCTGTTCTTGCAGTACCTCTCAGGCAAGCTCATTTTGTGGGGCTTTTAAACAGGAATTGGGGAGAGGAAACTTATTTTTTTCCACCACATGCTTGTCAGATGTGGTGCAGGGTAAAGGCAGCACAGAAGGGGAGGAGGCAGCGGAGGAGAGTGAAAGTGAGGGTAAAAATGTCAACACTATATTTTAGAAGAAGGAGAGCAGAAGATGACAAACTCTTTGGTGTAACTCACGGAGAGCAGCATATATCTGTCTGTTTGTTTGTTTTTTGATATAGGGAAACAATAAATGCGAAAGAACATAAAGGTGAAAAGAGGTTGTGACTGCTTGTACTTTAAACAGCAGCTCTGGATCTCATTACTGGTGCTGTTTATGAGATCTTGCGTTCAGCTCACTTCTTAGCAGACAGGAAAACAGCCCCCCCCCCCCACCAAGTCCATGACTCCCCGCCCGCAGCTCTGCCTCCCCCGCCCTCCCTCAC